AAAAATTCACAAAGGTTGTTAAGAAGTATGGTTTTACTCAGAGACAGACTGATCATACATTATTCCTTAAAACCTCTGTAGGTAAGATTACTATTCTAATTGTTTATGTAGACGATATTATTATTACTGGAGATAGTTTTGAAGAAATGGAGGCTGTTAAGAAGGTTATTGCTTGCGATTTTGAATTGAAAGACTTGGGGCAGTTGAGGTATTTTCTTGGTGTGGAGATTGCAAGGAGTAAAAAGGGAATTTCGGTTTTACAAAGAAAATATGTGCTACATTTACTGAAGGAGATAGGTATGCTAGGTTGCAAGCCAGTTGAGACTCCCATTGAACCAAATTTGAAATTTGAGGAAATGAGTTGTGTTGCTCTGGTTGATAAAGGTAGGTATCAAAGGCTGGTTGGGAAGTTGATATACCTATCTCATACTAGACCTGACTTAGTCTTTCCGGTGAGTGTAGTGATTCAGCATATGCATAACCCACAAGAGAAGCATTTTGGGGCTATAAGTAAGATTCTAAGGTACCTTAAAATGACCCTTAGGAAGGGGCTATTTTTTGGTAAAAAGAATGAAAGGAAAGTAGAAGCATTCACAGATGGGGATTGGGCTTGTTCTATAGATGATAGAAGATCGACCTTAGGTTATTGCACTTTTGTTTGGGGAAATTTAGTAACCTAGAGAAGTAAGAAGCAGAACATGGTAGCTAGAAGTAGTGCTGAGGCTGAGTTTCATGCTATGGCTCATGGATTTGTGAACTAATATGGCTAAGAAGAATCTCGGGAGAGCTTGAAATCAAAAGTGCGGAGCCTACGAGGTTGTACTATGACAACAAGGTTGCGATTGGGATATCACACAATCCAATGCATCATGATGGGACCAAGCATGTTGAAATAGATATACATTTCATCAAAGAGAAGATAGAAGATAAACTGTTGTGTGTTACGTACTTGCCTATAAGTTAGCAGACAACATATATTTTTACAGAATGACTGCCTAGACAGTTGTTTGTTAATCTAGTTTCCAAGCTGGGAATGATAAATATCTATTCACCGGCTTGAGGGGGAGTGTAGCATTTCTAGATTAGAATATGATATATTTAGGAGTTATCGAAGTATTATCTAGTTTAAGAGATTGAAATAAAAAGATTATCAGGATTTGTTTTCTCCTGATTTCATGTTTAAATCGCTCTATATGAGATTTGGACCAGTTTGGTTTGTAATTCAAAAATAATTTTGAAAAACTAAGTTACAATTAAAAATTTTAAAGTTTTATCTCTAAATTTTAAATATATGAAAATATATTTTGTATTTTAAATCTCTTTATGAGATTTGGGCCAGTTTGGTTTGTGATTCAAAAATAATTTTAAAAAACTAAGTTACAATAAAACTTTTAAAGCTTTATCTCAATATTTTAAATATTTGAAAATATATATGGTATAAAAAATTGTTTTTGAAGTTAAAAACTATATAAAGACTGAGAAATGATATTTTTCTTGTTTTCTAATTTTACACTAATTTTTAGGATTATATGCAAAAACATTGTTTTGAAAACATTTCAACTTATTTTTATAAAAACGTATTTTCATAAAATTCCTTATATTCCTTGTTTTCGAAAATAAAACACTATTTAGAATTTATAACAAATAGGCTCTTATATAGATTATAAACTTGTATATGTATTTATGTTATATTTATAGTTGTGATTGTGGCTGTTCAGTGCACGAGATTGTGTTAAATTTTAAGTATAGTTGTTGAACGCTTAACTATAAATTTAAGCTTTTAAGTTAAGTTGTTACGTAACATTTTTAAAGTGTTAATGGAAAGAGTAAACTAGATTCAAACATTACTGACGAACAGTCTCCAGCTAAGCGGTAGAAACATACTGCCAAAAACCCAAAACAAAGTGCATGGGAAAGAAAAGGGATGAGCACAGAACTTAGCTGAAGAAAACGAAGTAGAATAAGCCAAACCATCCAAATGACCAGCACATCAAAGACTCCACCACTAGAAGAGATAAAGTATACACTGACGAGTGTACTGCATTTTTATCAAACCTTAACTTCAGGGCAAGTAGCGATTCTCTCACACTTCAGAGAGAGATTGCTTTTTATTCTTTTTTGACGGTGGACAGGCAAATACAGAGAGATAATTCTGATGGTTTTAAATTTTTTTTAGGCAACTTCTGAAGATCTAAAAAAATTCTTTAGCAATGTTGCTGGGGTTGGATTTGTTCAAATTTTGCAGGACAAGTTCACCGAAAAGTCAAGGGTATGACTTTGTTTCTATCATTCATTGTTTGTCAATGTTCTTTGTCCTTTATGCTTCAAATGAAAAAGGGGAAGCTATCCACTGGACCTTCCATGTGCACATCAGTCTTACAGTCAAATCCTTATTTAACATTGCCTGACCTTTAAACTTCAACATATGTATGCATAATATGGACTGTACCACAGAAACTAGCCCTAAGAAACTAATTTTAATGAGATTGGGAGATCAGCATGGCCGATGCTTCAGGGAGATAGAAACTGCTAATTGCAGTCCATTCTCTTCGATCAAATTTCTCAAGGGTACTCACTAAAACTTCAATTTGATTTCTTCCTTGCAGTCAATAAATCATTTAGTTCTTATGCTTTTGGTTTCAAGATGAATGTCCTTTCCAGAGATGATTATGCAGTCTCAAATAAACCTGTAGAAGCATTGAATTCCATAATTATGGTAAAATTGCTTAATTTTCTAAGTATAAAGAGTCTAACTATAAGAGCATATTTTTTCATTTTGCTAGCAAGTGATATGCTTAGGAGACTCAACCATAGTCTCATACAAATTTACCTATATTCCAGCTTGCCTTTAAACTGTAGAGCATCTGTATGGGACCATTGCATACTAATTTATAATATCCTTTGATCGATTTTAGAAGGGCCTCGCATATGTGGATTTTGCCGATGATGCACACCTTGCTGCAGCTGTAGGAAAGAACAAAAAAAAATTTCTTAGGAAGAGGATAAGCATTGCAAGATCAAATTCGAAGCAAAAGAGAAAGGATTCTACTGGTCATAGGGCCTCTCGATAACATGGTAGGCTAAGTGGAATTATGTTTTATCTTTGTTATTACTTGTGTGTGTTTGTTTATGTGCAATGCAGTCTATAGACGTTTGCATGCTTGTGTTTCCCACTTTTACCTTTTATTTTCTTGCTCCTTTGGGTTAAATGGCAGCGCAAGGTAGTAATCAGATTTTTGGGGAGTCTAGAGTGCCACACTCTGCTGCTAATAAACATGGTGATAACATTCAACAAAAGGGGAGAAACACATTTGCAATGCCAAGGAACTCAGACCACTTGGTGTCCCCTCAACAAATCCAAAAGTCGAGGAAGTGGAAGATGAGAAGCTGAAGTCAACTAATGAGTTCAGAGAAATGTTCCTTAAGAAGTAAGGTTTGTTCCTGGGGTTACATGTTACATGTTAAATAGAATAGTACAGTAATTGACAAACTTCTATTTCTTATCAAAGACGTAAGGTTTTACCTTAATATGTTTCTGTAAACATAGTTATGACAAAAGATACCTCTTTAAGGACAAAAAATATATGCACCATTGAGATCAATCTATATCAATACCCTTCTTGTAAATTTTCTTCCAAATATGTCAAAGTTTATACCCATTTTATTCAAAAGGGTAAAGTTCTAATATGTTTCTTGTGGAACATATATTTCATCCAATTTGTGATGAGGATAGCCTCAATACCTTACCTCAAGATTCAGAGAAATTTTAGCCAATTAGATGGCAATCAAGTTCCTTTTTATGTGACAAATGACCAATTGTATAGGATCCATCAAGATCATGAAAACTATTATGGGTTGGTGGTCCATTCTTGGTCTAAAATAACATTGATTACTCACAGTGCAACTGTTAGGTTCTTTGCTTTTATGTACCTATTGATTCTATTCTAGCGGAGAATCCATTTTACTATTTGTCATAGACGAAAATCCTAATGCAGAAAGATGGACCACTAGAGCAATATTAAGTTTGTGTACTGAAACAGCAATGGCCTTGCATCTCATGCTTGTGGAAAATGTGAAAAAATGTCTTTGGTCTAGAAATTGTTTGAGGAAGAATATGAAGAATATCATCTGTATGCTCGCCTGATTAAAATTTCCACACACATATATTCATTTTTGTTGTCTGTTTTGAATGAATATCCATATCTCATATGATTATGTTTGTTTCACTTAGACTGTTCATGATTCAATTGGATTTTTTCATAAAATTTCTTGTAGAATCGAGAATGAGGTGCTGGCTCACAGCTCATACTTACAAACTTTCTCTCACAACCCCGACGTAGTAGTTCGTAAATGATCAACTCATAATTGGATAGGCGGGATCCACTGCGAGCAAGCGGGACCTATTTGCGAGCAGACTAATTACGAGCTGTCACATTGAGGTTGTGAGAGAACGTTTGTGAGATTGAGTTGTAAGTGTCGTATTGCCTGATTAATTGTGTCATGTATATTCTTTTTTAATTTCACAATTTCTTCAGAAAAGCATGAAAAATCTCGTTAAAAACATTTGAGCAAAAGTCCTTACATAATTTGGATATGGATTATGAATTCATAAATAGATGTATAAAATACTATATCATTTGAAATCATGAATGTTTTTACCTTTTGAATAAAGGCAGATTTTAGTTCAATATTGAATTTGACCAAATCCATAATTAGGTTGGATTGTGTTTAATACAATTTATCTATTTGAAGCTGTCAAGCGAGGCGAGGCCAATTGCTCGTGAGTAATGATGATTCAAAGGGGTTTGCAGCCTAATGTGGTGACTTTTAATTCAATGATAAATGGGCTTTGCAAGGAAGGGAAGATAGAAGAAGCTAATGGGTTGTTGGAATTGATGATTCAAAGAGGTTTGCAGCCTCATGTGGTTACGTTTACTACAATGATAAGTGTGCTTTGCAAGGAGGGGAAGATAGAGGAAGCTAATGGGTTTTTGGAATGGATGATTCAAAGAGGTTTGCAGCCTATTGTGGTTACGTTTACAACAAAGATAAATGGGGTTTGCAAGAAAGGAAAGACAAAGGAAGCTAATGAGTTGTTAGAATTCATGAGTCAGAAAAGCTTGCAGCTTAATGTGGTGACTTTTAATACAATGATAAATGGGCTTTGCAAGGAGGGGAAGATGGAGGAAGCTAATGGGTTGTTGGAATTAATAAGTCAAAGAGGTTTGGAGCCTACTGTGGTGACATTTACTACAATGATAAATGGGGTTTGCAAGGAGGGGAAGATGGAGAAAGCTAATGGGTTGTTGGAATTGATGAGTCAACGAGGTTTGCAGCCTAATGTGGTGACTTTTAATACAATGATGAGTGGGCTTTGCAAGGAGGGGAAAATGGTGGAAGTAATGGGTTGATGGAATTGATGATTCAAAAAGGTTTGCAGCCTGATGTGGTACTTTTAATTAAATGATAAATGGGCTTAGCAAGGAAGGGAAGGTGGAGGAAGCCAATGGGTTGTTGGAATTGATGAGTCAAAGTGGTTTGTAGCCTAATCTGGTGACGTTTAATACAATGATTAGTGGGTTTTGCAAAGAAGGGAAGACTAAGGAAGCTAATGGGTTGATTGAATTGATAATTCAAACAGGTTTGCAGCCTAATGTGGTGACTTTTAATTCAAAGACAGATGGGCTTTGCAAGGAAGGGAAGATGGAGGAAGCTAATAGGTTGTTGGAATTGATGAGTCAAAGAGGTTTGCAGCCTAATGTGGTGACTTTTAATTTAATGATAGATGGGCTTTGCAAGGAGGGGAAGATGGAGGAAGCTAATAGGTTGTTGGAATTGATGAGTCAAAGAGGTTTGCAGCCTAATGTGGTGACTTTTAGTACAATGATAAATGGGCTTTGTAAGGAGGAGAAGATGGAGGAAGCTAATGGGATGATGGAATCGATGATTCAAAGAGTATTGTAGCCTAATGTGTTGACTTTTAATTCAATGATGAATAGGTTTCGCAAGGAGGGGGAGATGGAGGAAACTAATGGGATGATGGAATTGATGAGTCATAGAGGTTTGCAGCCTGATGTGGTGACGTTTAATACAATGATAAATGGGCTTTGCAAGGAGGGGAAGATTGAGGAAGCTAATGGGTTGTTTGAATTGATGAGTCAGAGAGGTTTGCAGCTTGATGTGGTGACGTTTACTACAATGATAAGTGGGCTTTGCTAGGAAGGGAAGATGGAGGAAGCTAATGCATACTTGAAATAGATGATGCAAAGAGGTTGGCACCCTAATGTGGTGACTTTTACTACAATGATAAGTAGGCTTTGCCAGGAGAGGAAGATGGAGGAAGCTAATAGGTTTTTGGAATTGATGAGTCAAAGAGGTTTGGAGTCTAATGTGGTGTTTTTTACTACAATGATAAATGGGCTTTGCAAGGAGGGGAAGATGGAGGAAGCTAATGGGTTGTTGGAATTGATGAGTCAAAGAGGTTAGCAGCCTATGATCTAATCTTCTAGTCTTGACCTTTATAAGGACCCATAGGTTGATTTGGTATCTTTATATGTTGCATCCTTCGATCATATGTCTTGACATATACCCCTTTATATTATATTCAATTTTTTTTTATTTTATTTTTTTTTTTTTTTTGCTTATTTCAATTTGTTATTGCTCACCTGAATTCTAACTCTAATTGTTTTAACTCTTCTTTTGCAATGAGTTCTGGATATTCTGAGAGTATATACCATGAGGCAAAGATGGCACTTGATACTTTTTGCAAATATCTGCCACTAGGTGTTTAACCGTGAAGGAAAATTTTAAAAAGCCATTGAGGAAATGGACTTTTTTTTTCTTTTTTTTAAATGTTGTTTTACCAAAGTTAGCGATTCTTAGCTTTTACCCTTAGTCGCTTAAGCGATTTGCGATTCCTTAAGCGATTTGCGATTGCTTAAGCAATTTATGGTCTCGCTTAAGTGATTCTTCGCTTTTACCCTTAGTCGCTTCAGCGGTCAAGTCCGAGGCAGAATCAAGATTTGCCTAGATGCACGATCGCTTAAGCGATTTATGGTCTCGCTTAAGTGATTCTTCTCTTTTACCCTTGGTCGCTTAAGCGATTCTTCACTTTTGGCATTGGTTGCTTTCGCGATTATTGATCGCTTAAGCAACCAAGGCCATTTTTCTTCTTATCTTGCCAAACTTTTGATATTGACCACGTTTGAGTGAGAAATTATATTTGTATTGTGGGTGAGCTCTATATTCAATCATAACCATCCATATTTGTGAAATAAGGTACGTTTCTACTAACGTGCCACACTCGTGACTAATTCAGTAAATTGATTGATTGATTGATTGCCTTGATATGACAATGATGTTGATAATATTTATTTTGTTTGTCTTGCTTCTTTGGGTAGCAATCAGTTTCGTACAGAGATAATATGCAAAATTTTACTAATTTAAACCCTTTTTAAAATTGATAAAAATGAAAATTAATTAATTTGATTTAATACATTATAAAATGTGATTTATTCAAGGTAACAATAAAATTTAAAACATAAAAAATTGAAAACAACAACTCTTCAACGGTTGGCCTTGGCAGCTCTCTCAATTTCATCATTCTTCTTAATGACATAGCTAGAAATACAAGGACATAAAATCAGTTTAATACACCACAATTAGTTTAAGCGATCCGAACCTAATTTTTTGGATCTACACATGATCGATTCTGGCAACTACTTCTCTTGTGGCTAGGTTGCTTGCAAATTGAGCACTTATTCATTCTCTGGGGAACCTCAGAGGTTGATGGAATACGCTTAACTCTTTTTCTCCCCTTTTCTGTCTTCTTGAATGGCAGATGGATGATAATGTGAACCAACTCTGGCGGCACCACCCACTGCTCTTCTGGAGGAACTTGATATATCGTTTCTGAATAAGCCAGCATGTAGTGACTTGCCATAGAGAGAGGGGAGCAAAGTTTCATGTAAATTTTTGAACCGAAATTCGGCTTCCGTTGATGTTTCAGTGCTACTAGTGCATGAGGACAAGGTAAACGTTGAATGTCAAGCACTTTACAACTGCAAGTTTTACTAAGAAGGTTAATTAGGGCATCCAGACCATAGCCGTGCACGGTGAACTCTTAAGCATTAAGAGGATAGGCAAACAGTGCATTTGACAGTTCCATACGTTCTCACAATAATTTTTCAGCTGACGGAACAAAAGTTGTGGTGAAATTATCTGACTCCATACGACGCTCATGGAACCATTGTGACAATGTCCTCTGGATTGCATCAAAAAGGGCAACTATTGGAAATTCTCTTTCCATTAACAACTTCGAATTTATGGACTCAACTATGTTCGTGGTCATGACATCACACCTTCTTCCAAGAAAGAAAGCTCTACTCCATCACTCGAAACCAATATCATGCTCAAGATACTTAGCAATTCTATCATCCTTGATTCGGATTTGTCGGAAGTGCTCCTCGAACTCATCAACTCGATAAGTTTTTGCAGCCATGCAGTATGTCTGAAGGAGGCCAGCATACTTAAACTTTTGTTTTATGTTCTCACCAAGGTGTCTCATACATAATCTGTGATGTGCTTGAGGGTAAATAGTGGCAATCCCTTTCTTTATAGAGTTGTGCCTATCAGATATTATGCACAACTCATCACTGTCAGGCACTATCATACGTAATTGCTAAAAAAATGTAACGCCCACATCGCGGTACGTAACTTTACGTATTCCCTAATACCTTTAGTTGAATTTTGTTAAAGGTATCTTGAACAAGTGTGAAGAAAATGCCTTAAAATTTCATTAAGGGTAAAATGGTCTTTTCACTCATAATTAGTTGAAAAAGTGGGGAGTGAAAAGAGATAGAATTTCGTGAAGAAGTTAATAAAAATGAGGACGTTATTGTAATTGACTAAGGGACATAGATGGAATTTCATAGAAAGTGTATGGGCAAAATAGGAAAGTAGAAGTAATAAATGAGATATTTTGAGTTCATTCTTGAAAACTCTATCATTCTCTACTCCCTCACACGCCACTTTCATCTCCAAATTCTCTCATTTTCTTCATCAAATTTCCAAGGCAATTTAAAGGATTTTTGGTTGGATTTTGGTAGATATTCAATCCTAAGCATCCAAAGGTAAGAGATCCTGCAATAGGATGTGAGATTAATTTTTAAAGTGTTGAATTCTTATAGTTATATGCTTAGGGTTTAAGAAGAAGAGAAGATCTACCCAAAGAGAGAGTTTCTAGTGTGGAACTATCCAAGATCAAGGTAAGTAAATCCAACCCTAAGTTTGATTTGAGTAAGTTTGTAGAGATTTGTACATGTATGTATGTACTTATGTTTTTGAGAAGTTTTGATGAGATTGATACTTGATAATAATTAAAATTCAGCCATGAGAATGTAGACTTTGCCTATATGGTGATTGATGGAAGTTTGGTTGAATTTAGAAAGAGTTTGAGTAGACTTTATGGAGTGTAGTTTCCTGGTCAGGTTTATTGTTGATTTAATGGAGTTTTGCTCTAAATATTGGTGGCTTCAGAAAGAAGTAGAAGTGTAGCCATTTAGAGTTTGAGTATGCATTCAATTTGTTTGATGAAAATCCTAAGAGAAAACATGTTACCATGGTTGCCCTGTCATAGCTGTGACCTTCTGAGTGATTTTTGGGCATCTTACTGATTGAACTGAGTTGAGACCTAAACATAAAAGTTGTAGCCCTGTCTCTAAGCTTTAAAACAAAACCAAGATCGTAGCAATCCAATGTGTATAACTCGAGATATTCCTTCTTGAATATGACATGCAGAATGACTACCTCAAAATATTTTTTAGTCTAATAATCTATGATTGATTTCAAGTATGGGAATGTTGTTAGTAGAAATACTAGTTCTCTAATGATATTTTTATATGCCATAATGCATTCTCACATTTGCATTTAGAAAGAATAGCAAAGAATGAGCATATTTCCATGCACATACACATGGGTGAGAATAATAAAGAATAAGGAAAAAGAAAGAAAATAATTAATTATAAAAAGATAAGAGAAGAGAAGGTTGTTGCGATGGGGAACCCGTGAGTGACAGAGAAGAATAGTCCCACATACACACCGCCTTCAGTGAGCGGCCTCAGAATCAGAAAGAAGTAAGTTTACAGTTCGTTGTAAGTGTACAGTTCGTTAGAAGTGTATGTGGATGAGAATTGTACCAACATAATTTACCTACATGCACGCCGCCTTTAGTGAGCGGCCTCAGAATTAGAAAGAAGAATTATACAGTCAGATAGAAGTGCATGTAGATGAGGATTGTACCCACTCACATGGCCAGGGTTCCGAATCCATGCCTCAACCGAGTCTGATCAACATAGAAAGAAAGAATAGAAAGAAAACAAAAATAGAACACAAAAAGAACAGAACGGAACAGAACAGAAAGAAAGAATAGAACACAGAAAGAAAGAACATAATAGAAAGAAAGAAAGAATAGAAAGAAAGAACAGAAAGAAAGAAAGAAGAGAAACAAAAAATAGAAAAGAAATTGCATTCTTTATGCATTTATGCACATGCATCATGGCATTCATATTATTCAGAATTAGTTTCTCCAATTGTGCTTACATGTTAGTAAGTGAGAAACAAGAATAGAGAAAGAACAGAGAGAAAGAACAGAAAAAGAATAGAGAAAGAACAGAGAGAAAGAATAGAAAAGAACAGAGAAGAAGAGAGAAGTGTGATGTAAGGAAAGAATTCAGAATATGAGCAACTGAGATAGAAGGGTAGCATAGCGGGTTTACTTACTAAGCAATTAGTGCTCACCCCGTTGTTTTCAATGTTTTTGCGGGTAGTAGATGAGATGCGGTCGCTTGGAATGTCAAGATACAGAGGGTTGGGCAACACTGTCGAGCTTCTTGAGAAATTTATTTAGACTATGTATAGTTTTGTATATATAAAGAAAAATTGGGCCCATTATTTTATACTCATCT